TAGAGTAATTAATTTTTTAATGTCTGCTTTTCTAAGACAATCTCTAATGTCTTCAAAAACAAGCTCCGCTAAAGCATGGAGCATAATATTGCATTCCCAGCATCTAGCATGTTGCTTTGCACACAGCAAGCACTCAATAAATACTTGAGTGAATGTACAAAAATCTTATATGGGTAGTGAGCAGCAGCTTCAACTACAGAAAGGTTTTTGAATTTAGTCCTGGCACAGGGAAAAGGCCTAAGCAGCACGGCATTGGCTTCAGCTGTCACAGCAGAACTGCCACATCTAATTATGAATACAGTCGTCCCTCAGTGTCTGTAGGGCATTGGTTCCAGGGCCCCCAGAGATACCAAAATCTGCGGGTGCTCAAGTCCCTTGTCTAAAATGATATAGTATTTACACATCCTACATATATCCTCCTGTATGCTTTAAATCATCTCTAGATTATTTATCATACCTAATACAATGTAAATGCTAGGTAAACAGTTGTTATAGTGTATTTTTTGTTTGTAATTTTGTTTCTTTGTTTTTCCAAATATTTCAATTCCCAGTTGATTGAATCTGAGGAGGTGGAACTGGGGGATATGGAGGGCCATCTGTAGTGTGCTCTGTACAAAAATACCTGGCCAAAAGGGAAGTAGGGACTGAAATCTGAGCCGTGGACCTGGGGGTGGGGGATGGAGGTTAAGATGCCAGAGTATCCACCTGGAAGGAGAAATGCCTTTGGGAATTCCCACGAAGGCACCACCATGTAAGCTAACAGTGGCTTTGTGGCACCAAAATCAGTCCTCAAGCCTCAGAAACATCAACTCCTGGGAGAATACATTAAGGGCTTGTGGTGGGATGTGAAATAGAACCAGATGATTGATTCTGTCACCAAATTATCAATTATTTGGCACGGTCCTTAATCTCCTTAAGTCTCTGTTTTTTATTTTTTGTTTGTTTTTTTAGAGACAGAGTCTCACTATGTTGCCGAGGTTGGTCTTGATCTCCCGGGCTCAAGGGATCCTCCCACCTCTGCCTCCTAAGTAGCTGGGATTACAGGAGTGAGCCACTGTGCCCACCTTGTTTTCTAACCCTCCAATTTTCTAACTCTCTTGTTTTCTAGCCCTCCAATTTAATGGCATTATTTACCTTATCCAAGGAAGCAATCTGGCCCCATTCACCATTCCGCTACTCCCCCAAAGCTCTCTCTCTCTGGTGTTTCATCTGAACCTTTAGGTGGGGCTGAGGGCAAGACTCTGTTTTTCCACTGGAGGACGTGAGTCAGTGAACAGTGAGGTTCCACTTAATCACCACCCAAAAAACAAGGTCCTTGCGATCAGGAGCTAGAAAAGCAAGGAAGTGATTAATATAAAAATCAGGATAGTGATTATCCCTTGGGGAAGGACAGGGCATAGAGGTGGGGCTGGGGCTTCGTGGGGAAAGGGTCTTCTGAGTTCTGACAGTGTTCTGTTTCTTGACTTGGGTGGTGGTTGCACTGGCGGTGGTTGCTTTGTAATTACACTTACATGTTTTATGTACTTTTCTAAATGTGTATCATATTTGACAATTTGAAACAACTTAAAAAATTCAAACTATAAAAAGTTTTTAGGCAGAGAAAAAAATGACCAGATTTTTATTATTAAAAGATCATTTAGCAAGGCGTGGTGGCTCACGCCTGTAATCCTAGCACTCAGGGAGGCCGAGGCAGGAGGATTGTTTGAGCTCAAGAGTTGGAGACCAGCCTGAGCAAGAGCGAGACCC